GCGCTCCCTGTACCCCGCTCCTGTTAGTAATCTTGCTGCCGCACGTTGGACTAGTTGCAGCTTCCGGGCAGTCTTCAAGGGCAACCCCACATAGAGAGCGTTGCAGTAGTCTATATGGGATGTAACCAGAGCGTGGACCACCGTGGCCAAGTCAGACTTCCCAAGGTACGGGCACAGCTGGCGCACAAGTTTTAATTGTGCAAAAGTTCCCCTGACCACTGCCAAGACCTGGGATTCCAGGCTCAGCGATGAGTCCAGGGTCACTCCCAAGCTGTGAACCTGCGCCTTCAGGGGGAGTGGAACCCCGTCAGCACAGGCTGTAACCCTATGCCCTGTTCGGCCTTTCGACTGACCAGGAGTACCTCTGTCTTGTCTGGATTTAGTTTCAATCTGTTTGCCCTCATCCAGTCCATTACAGTGGTCAAGCACAGGTTCAGGACTTGGACAGCCTCCTTAGTAGCAGCTGGGAAGGAATGACAGAGTTGGACATCATCTGCGTACGGATGACACCGTACCCCGAAACTCCGGATGATCTCTCCCAACAGCTTCATGTATATGTTGAATAGCATAGGGGACAGTATTGAGCCCTGCGGGACCCCACAGTACCATGGCCATGGAGTCGAGCAGGAGTCCCCTACCAACACCTTCTGGGTACGACCTTCGAGGAAGGACTGGAGCCACTGCAGAGCAGTACCTCCGAGACCCATCCCCACAAGGCGTCCCAGAAGGATACCGTGGTTGATGGTATCGAAGGCCAATGAGAGGTCCAGCAGAACCAACAGGGACACACTCCCCCTGTCCAGTTCCTGGCAAAGATCATCAACTAAGGCAACCAAGGCTGTCTCAGTACCATGTCCCAGCCTCAAGCCAGACTGCGCCGGATCCAGATAATCAGTGTCTACCAAGAAATCCTGTTAAACAACATGGGGGACAATACTGAGCCCTGCGGGACCCCACAGGACAATGGCTGTGGGGCCGAGCAGGAGTCTCCCAGCAACACCTTCTGGGTACAACCCTCCAGGAAGGACTGGAGCCACTGCAGAACAGGACCTCCAAGACCCATCCCCGCGTGGCGCCTCAGAAGGATACCAGGAGAGGTCCAGGAGAACCAACAGGGACACACTCCCCTTGTCGAGCACTCTATTTTCTGAATCTTTCAAAAATAATCCCAAAGCATTGCCATTTTGCTAGAGGAGAATTTTGCTATTAGTTGTGGATCACAGCAGTTAAAGTGGAACAATAGTGTGATAATTCTCCAGTGTGGACAAATCCCTTGTTGGATCACAGCCCGTATTTATGGCACCGCATTTAGAGTGGCTTCAGCCAAGGATGCGTTCTTCCTCTTTTATTATGGAGACAGCGTTATGGGCTGCCCATAAACAAGGAAACAAGGGTTTGAATGATGGAAAAGGGAAGAGAAGTCATAAAAGAGAAGTTGGGCTGGAGCCACACCACCTGGATTTCGTAGATCGCCTGAAAACTTTGCAGGAGAAACATTGTAGGTTGGATAGGAACCTATTTTGAAAATATATGTGCACCAAAACCACCCCAAAACAGACCTTTAAATAAGAAATACTATTAGAGAGCATGGAAAACGCATTAGTTTTGGCAAAATTGGATCACTGATCTCCTTAGCTGCTTCCTTACCAGGTAAGAGCACTTCTTTCTTGGTAAGACCGATTGCTAAATTCATAAATGAAGAAGTAATGATGTGAATTAAACGTATGCAAGATGTATAGATTAATAAGGATGTTCAAAGGCCAATACTTCCACAAAAATATTTTTATTTTTCATACTACAACTCCCAAAAGCCACTGGCCATGGAGATTTTGGGAGTTTTTTTTTTGTCGTGTCAGGAGTGACCTGAGAAACTGCAAGTCGCTTCTGGTGTGAGAGAATTGGCTGTCTGCAAGGACGTTGCCCAGGGGACGCCCAGATGATTTGATGTTTTATCATCCTTGTGGGAGGCTTCTCTCGTGTCCCCGCATGAGGACCTGGAGCTTATAGAGGGAGCTCATCCGCCTCTCCCTGGATTCGAACCTGTGACCTGTCGGTCTGCAGTCCTGCCGGCACAAGGGTTTAACCCACTGTGCCACCGGGGGCTCCTATTTTGGGAGTTGTAGTCCCCGCAAAATAGTTTTCCAAGCGTTTGTTCTAACCTAAATAACAGAATAGTTACAAAATGGAAGAAATGTTTGATGTGCAAACTAAGACAGTTTTCCGTGCGTTGATTTGTCTTTATATTGTATTGTTTTTTACCACTGTTCATCGTTTTGATTCCCTTCAAACAACAATAATGTGTTGTCAGAAGTTTTCATGGCTAGAATCGCTAGGTTGCTATGAGTTTTCCAGGCTGTCTGGCCATGTTCCAGAAGCATTTTCTCCTGACATTTCACCTGCATCTATGGCAGGCACCCACAGAGATTGTGAGGTCTGTTGGAAAGTAGGCAAGTGGGGTTTATATGTTTGTGGAATGATGTCCAGCATAGGAGAAAGAACTCTTGTCTGTTGGAGGCAAGTGTGAATGTTGCAATTGGCCACCTTGTTTAGCATTGAATGGCCTTGCAGCTTGAAAACCTTGTTGGTTACTTCACATAGAATCATAGAATCATAGAATCAAAGAGTTGGAAGAGACCTCATGGGCCATCCAGTCCAACCCCCTGCCAAGAAGCAAGAATATTGTATTCAGATCACCCCTGACAGATAGCCATCCAGCCTCTGTTTAAAAGCTTCCAAAGAAGGAGCCTCCACCACACTCTGGGGCAATAAAGCACAGGAGGATCCTTTGTTGGCAAGTGTTAGCTGGCCCTGATTGAGTCTTATCTGGAATTCCCATGTTTTCTGAGTCTTGCTCTTTATTTACTGTCCTGATTTTAGAGTTTTTAATACTAGTAGCCAGATTTTGTTCACTTCCACGAACAATCTGGACGTAAATAAAGAGCAAGGCTGTGTGGTCTGTGTTCAGAGTTCCCTCCTTTCAGGACATTTATGCCTCTTTTCAACCCTGGAACATGTGAAGAGTTCCGGGCTTTTCCTTGCTTGAAAAGATGCTAAATAGTGTCCTATCAGGAGGAAATGTCTCAGTGTGATGAGGTCGACTGCTGGAGTTCCCTCCTTTCAGGATACTTCTGCCTCTTTTCAACTACGGAGAGCTAGGCATGACGCCCAGAAGTAGTTTAACTAATGTGCCTCTCCATGCTTGGAAAGATGCTGAAGCATGCTAGGTAAAGGTTAAGGTTTCCCCCTGACATTAAATCCAGTCATGTCCAACTCTGGTGGTTGGTGCTCATCTCCATTTCTAAGCTGAAGAGCCGGCATTGTCCGTAGACATCTCCAAGGTCATGTGGCTGGCATGACTGCATGGAGCACCGTTACCTTTTCGCGGGAGCGGTACCTATTAATCTTCTCACATTTGCATGTTTTCAAACTGTTAGGTTGGCAGAAGCTGGGGCTAACAGCAGGAGCTCACACCGCTCCCTGGATTCGAACCACCAACCCTTTCAGTTAGCAAGTTCAGCAACGCAGTGGTTTAACCCACTGCATCAGCAGTAGCTCCTGAAGTGTCCTGTTGTTGTTGTTGTTCATTCGTTCAGTCGTTTCCGACCCTTCGTGACGTATTTGTTTATTTATTTATTTATTTAGAAGTTTTATATACCGGTCTTCTCACCTCTGAGAAGGGACTCAGGCCGGTTCACAACATGTGTTCATATACAATAATATACAAAAACAACACCATTACATCATCATTAAACATTAAAATATAAGTACAATAAAAAACATCATCATCACATTACACAAGCCAAGTCGTCAATACAGTCAGTCACAGTTCATCATCCTCCTTCCATGTGGACGAAGGTTATTGACTCAATCCTCAAATGCCATGTTCCAAAGCCAGGTTTTTGTCAGTTTCCTGAAGGTCAGGAGGGAGGGAGCAGATCTAATCTCTGGTGGGAGGGAGTTCCAAAGCCGAGGAGCCACCACTGAGAAGGCCCTGTCCCTCGTTCCCACCAAACGCGATTGCGAAGGTGGTGGGACCGAGAGCAGGGCCCCTCTGGAAGATCTTAGTAACCTGGATGGTTTATAGGGGAGAATCCGTTCGGACAAGTAAACTGGGCTGGAGTTGTTTAGGGCTTTATAGGTCAAAACCAGCACTTTGAATTGTGTTCGGAAGCTAATCGGCAGCCAGTGGAGCTGGCGTAAAAAAGGGATCGTATGCTCTCTGTACCCCGCTCCTGTTAGCAATCTGGCTGCCGCTCGTTGGACTAATTGAAGCTTCCAGGCAGTCTTCAGAGGCAACCCCACGTAGAGAGCGTTGCAGTAGTCTAAACGGAATGTAACCAGAGCGTGGACCACCGTGGCCAAGTCAGACTTCCCAAGGTACAGGCGCAGCTGGCGCACACATGGACCAGTTCACACCAAGAGCTCCCTGTTGGCCGTCACCTCCCCAGCTCCTTCAGAGTCAAGTCAGTCACTTCAAGGATACCATCCATCCATCTTGCCCTTGGTTGGCCCCTCTTCCTTTTCCTTCCATTTTCCCCAGCATCATTGTCTTCTCTAAGCTTTCCTTTCTTCTCATGATGTGGCCAAAGTACTTCATCTTGACCTCTACTATCTTTCCCTCCAATGAGCAGTCAGGATTTATTTCCTGAAGTATGGACTGGTTGGATCTTCTCGCGGTCCAAGGCACTCTCAGAATATTCCTCCAACACAATAGTTCAAAAGCATCTATCTTCCTTCGCTCAGCCTTCCTTATGGTCCAGCTCTCACATCCGTAGGTTACTATGGGGAATACCATTGCTTTGACTATGCGAATCTTTGTTGCCAGTGTGATGTCTCTACTCCTCATTATTTTATCAAGATTTGTGTCCTACGATAAGGAAATTTCTCAATGTGAAAAGGTGGCTAGTCTCCAGAGCCATCATCCAAGGCACAAAACACAAAATATCTACAGGAGGGAAGTTTACAAATTATTCTTCTTGCTTCTAGATGATGCCTGGAGAATGGGAGGACAAGGGCTGTGTGTCGCCGGCATCCATCCGCTGAAGCTCCTTTGTGGCCTCCTCATCACTGCGGCTGCCTTGCTTCTTCTTGCAACCGCAGGTAAATTTTCTCAACTAGACAAATCCATGTGCATGTACCAAAACATGCTGGCTTAAGGCTAGGATCAATGCAGTTTGATACCACTTGTAACTTTCATGGCTCAGTGCTATGGCATCTTTTGAGCTGCTATGTGGTCAAAGGACATTTAATCAACTACCAAGCTTGCAAACTCTGTTTTGTCTGTTTGTTAAAAAATTGTTTAAAATGTAATACAATTGTCTGGTTGATACTGACACGATAAATAAATAAATAAACCTCTGATAGGGTTAGGTTTCCCATAAGTCAGAAAGGACTTGATGGCACATAACACCAGAAAGTTAAGCCATTCTCCTTTGAATTTGCAAAAAGATGTGGTGATAAAGGATCACACAAATGGGGGTACAATTTTCACGGTCGGTTTTCAACCTGCCATTCAAATGCATGGTTCCAAATGGACTGTGGCACCCAATAATATTGGGGGATATTTGCATTTGTTTTGAGTATCTCCTGGAAATGATGTGAGGGCACTCCTTTGAGGAATGACTGATGTTCCGTCTCCCAGGAGTTTGATTTGCATTGCCCCATAGTTTTAGGAAATAGCACCCCTTTTCGCATTTCTTCCAGGGCTTTTACAGACTCAGCAACACCCTGATAGTTAACTATTAACAGAGGCTTGAAGCCTCTGTAAAGCCTTTGCTGCTGTTGGTTTGCAAAAGTATCTTTTTGATCTTGAGACCACTGTTGCAACTCAGAGTAAGCTTCGCCTTGCTTCCAAACGCCACCACACAAGAGCTGTAGTTTTATAGTTTATTGAGGAAAAAGTCCAAGTCAGAATAAAGAATAAACATTGCAAAGTTCCAAAGATTTAGGTTAAATGCAGAATATAGTTCCAAAGATCTTCAGGCAAAAACAAGAGGCACAATCCTATAGGCAAAGTTCAAAACAGAGTCCAAGATACAAGCAATGAAGCAATTGCCCCAAGAATCACAATGCAAGAAATCCCAAGCGTGCTGCTTTCCAGCTAAGGTTATTCCATGAAGCTTTCAGGCTAATAAGCTACTTTGAACTGACACTTTCACCCTGTTTGCAAGAAGCCTAAATACCTTTCTAACATGAAAACATTATGCTCTCACCAACATGAAAGCATTGCGATGACCTTTCCCCGAGCTGTCTTCTTGTCTGCTGGCTAGGCGAGAGCTTGCCGGGTCAGGTCACTATCAAGGCTTTCAGCACTTTCACTATCAGCGTGGAAGGCTTCTCCACCTGTTCGCTATCTACTTCATTGTTGACATTCCTTTCTTCTGAGAACCGCTGTGTTGACTCTGCACTGTTTGTGGGAGCCTCAGAAAAAGACCTAGAAGCAGGCCCAGAGATCTGAGGCACAGAAAAAGAGCCAGGAATCTGAATCCCATCATCCTCATCATCAGAGAACATCTCAGCCACAACAACTGCCCCTTTTTCCTGGGGATGAAATCTCCATTTTGAGAAGCCCTTCTGCCTTCTACAGAATAGCAAAAGACTCAGATGTGCTTGTGGTCAAGCCAGGCCAGCTCAGACAAGCCATCGTAAGTACTAACCTCTTGCCTTTAAAACTAGTTCTGAGTTTAGATAGGGAAAGACCTGCTCTTTCTAAAATAGCAACTCAGCACTAGGGCAGAGAATATCCCAGGATTTCTCTGCCATTGGAAGAAACTCTAACTACTTCGCCTCCAAGCTAGCTTTTCCATGATCCAATCAATCCCTTCCACATCCAGCACAAGTCCTGGACCTGATCCCATTTACCCTTTCCTCAACTCTTCCCTCCCCTATTCTACCCTACCTTCAATCCTAAAATCCCATTTCCCTCTTACTTTTAATTATACAATTGTAAGAAAACTCTTTAATAAAAAAATTATATAAAAATATATATAAGAAGCCACTCTCAGTGACCCTGGAAGGAGGAAAAGAACTTTGTCAAAAGACATTTTTTTGTCGTGTCAGGAGCGACTTGAGAAACTGCAAGTCGCTCCTGGTGTGAGAGAATTGGCCGTCTGCAAGAACATTGCCCACAGGACGCCCGGATGATTTTATGTTCTTATCATCCTTGTGGGAGGCTTCTCTCATGTCCCCGCATGAGGAGCTGGAGCTGATAGAGGGAGCTCATCCGCCTCTCCCCGGATTCGAACCTGTGACCTGTCGGTCTTCAGTCCTGCCAGCACAAGGGTTTAACCCACTGTGCCACCGGGGATCCACCAGTGACATATTTGCATGGACAATACAATGGACTTTGACCCTGGGGTTCGGAGTTTGGGCCCCCCAGCAGAAGATGCCCACTTGGCATGATTGATCATATCTCAACAGGACAAAGGGCCTTCGGAAAGCCACAATTTGTCCTGACCTGTTCTCTCAGTTATCTTCCATCCATCAAAACTACAGCCAGGATTACCCCATTGTCTCCATATCACAGTTCAAGAAAAATCCGGATTCTGGCCATCTCGCCAGACATCAACGTTGATTGCCACCTCTCAAGACAATAGGCTGGTCGGCTAGAAGGCCCCCTGAGGACTCGCTGACCACATGGAACCCACATATTTCCATAATCCACTCCAGTTCTCATTGTTTCCCTCTCGTCCTGCCTCCTTCTCTCCTGATTGGCCAGGAGGCCAAAGTGGTGTGAGCTCACCCATTGGTTAAAGAGCTCAGGAGGTTCTGGATCCAAATTCCAATGGATACCAAGGGCCCACTGTATAGCTAGGATGACACTGATACGGAGATTAAAAACCCATCTAACTCTGTGAATGATGAATGATGCCAAATGTTGACATCCTATAAACTGCAAAGCCCCAATCCCAATCGTACCTCTCTATCATTCCTTCATTTTTCAAAGCATCTCTTGGATCAGTGAGAAATGTATCCCTGTCTCTGGCAGTCTCTGTTGTGTCTATTTTCTGTATGAACAGCAAATAATCCAGTATGATTTACATTCTGGCAATGGACCCAGGGGTTTTAGAACGCCTTGTTCACTGGTCAAAGTTGGGATGGAGATGGATTGGGGAAAAACAGCCTTGAACCTGGCACCATAAAACCATTCCCTGGCACTTCCCTTTTCAAAAACAAATGGTCTTTAATGGCCTTGATAAACTGCCGGGACAATCCCAGCTCGTTCAATCTATGGCTGAAGGATAGTTTGCATTTCCAACCTTTCAAACTTTAGCAAGGAATGTGAGAAAGAGAGAGTGGAGAATGTGCTGTTGAAGGTTTTCATGGCCGGAATCACTTAGTTGTGGTGACTTTTCCGGGCTGCATGGCCATGTTCCCGAAGCATTATCTCCTGTTTTGCCCACATCTATGGTAGGAATCCTCAAAGTTGCAAGTTCTGTTGGAAATCCCACTTGCCTAGTTTCCAACAGATCTCACAACCTCTGAGGATGCCTACCATAGATGTGGGAGAAAGGTCAGGAGATAATGCTTCTGGAACATTTATTTATTTCGGTTTCTTCTACCCCGCCCTTCTCACCCTGAAGGGGACTCAGGGCGGCTTACAAAAGCAAAGGCACAATTTGATGCCCGCATCACATAACAGTCGTAAAACAAAATAGCATCAATTCACAGTTAAACAACAATTCCTGCATTACAACCATAAAACCAATAAAATCAATAAAACCAATACAAACCCAATTCCTCCTCAAAAACGGTCAGCGTTCGCTATCTCATAGTTCCAATTTCAATTCCACATTGTCCGTCCTGTCAGTCTTACTCGTCTGATTGTCTTATCTAGTTGTCAGATTGCCCAAAGGCCTGGTCACACAACCACGTCTTTACCTTCCTCCTGAAGGAGAGGAGGGATGATGATGTCCTAATTTCCCCTGGAAGTGAGTTCCACAGGTGAGGGGCCACCACTGAGAAAACCCTGCTCCTCGTCCCCACCAGCTTCACTTGTGACAGTGGTGGGGTCGAGAGCAGGGCCTCCCCAGATGATCTCAAACTCCGGGGTGGGACGTAGAGGGAGATACGTTTGGACAGATACACTGGACCGGAACCGTACAGGGTTTTGTAGGTCAAAACCAGCACCTTGAATTGTGCTCAGAACTGAACCGGCAGCCAGTGGAGTTGACACAGCAGGGGGGTGGTGTGCTCCCTGTATGTCGCTCCGGTGAGCAATCTGGCTGCCGCTCACTGAACCAGTTGAAGTTTCCGAACAGTCTTCAAGGGCAACCCCATGTAGAGTGCGTTGCAGTAGTCTATCTGGGATGTAACAAGAGCGTGGACCAAAGTGGCCAGATCAGACTTCCCAAGAAACCCAGAGAACTCACAGCAACCCAGGGAGGGGGGGCTTAGGATTGTTTTTTAGCGATAGGATGGAGAAGAGGGGTACATCCACTGTAGAATGAATGTAGTTTGATGCTATTTTAATCACCATGGCTCAATGCAGTAGAATCATGAGATCTGTAGTTTGGTGAGGCACCAGCAGAGCTATGGAACAACTTTTGTTGTTCCATAGCATTGAGCCATGGCACTTAAAGTGGCACCAAACCACATTAATGCGGCAGTGTAGAAATACCCTGTGTCTCCTTCCAGATATTGTTGGATTTCAGCTTCCAACATCCGTACAGGATGATGGGAGCTTCATCCAAGCAATGCCTGGACAATGGTAATGGGGATAGTTCTTCTTCATCTTCCTTGTCTTGTCTTCTTCCCCTTCCTGTTGCACCCCAGGCCTGAAAACACCTAGGACCACAGCGCCACACAAGAGTTCAGAATATAAGCAAACGGTTTGTTGTAAAAACAAATAAAAGCTATATAGAAAATCAGGAACAACGAAAGGAGATGTATAATCCAAAAAAGGTTTAGCAACAGGTGGTAACCCAACAGGAATCCAAATGTCTCATACAGATCCAAAGGCAACGCAGTCTAGGAATAGCCAAAAATCATAAGTACAGCTTTAGTCCAAAAGCAAGAGGTATACTTAGGTAAACTTGAGCAGGAATGCAAAAACAAGAACATAGAAAACTTCCAAGACACTTCAATCCGAAATCAAGGCTTGAATTGAAACAAGAACCAGAGAACTCAGATCTAGCTTCTCACTCAAATGCTACGTTGCCTGAAATAATCTTTAGGCATGTGCTGTCACACCCAGATGCTATAACGTTAAAACTAAGATGTGCTTCTCTCTTTATCTGGGCAAACTGCTGGGGGTCTTTCTTTGAAGCAATAACTCAATACTTTCAGCAACTGATGCCAGCCAAGATATGAACATCAACAAAATATTGATTTCCAAAGTCCTTGGCAGACTTGGCACAGCTTGATAAAGTTACAACACAAACCATCAATTTAGGAAACCATAGAGATGTTCTTTCTTTCCTTTTCTTTCAATTACTGAGGTAACTTTTCTCCAAATGGTAGAAAAAATCCTGGGATTTTTCACCCTAACTGTTGGGGTTCAGCCTGGGTGTGAACCTGAACCTGAACCTGATTCTCTGATTGTATTTCCTGATGCTACTGAAAATGTATTTCCTGATGCTAATGAAAATGTTGATTCTGAGGTCAGTGTAGAAGAAACTCCTGCAGGCTTGGAAGGCTTGGAAAGTGAAAGTACACATTCTCATGAGAATGTTTCAGAGCCAAGCGGTGATAGCTCTCCAGAGAAGCTAACACCTGGGATCCTTAATGAGGATAGAAGAGGACAGATTTGGAAAAACAGGAGTGAATCGCAGAGTCTGCGAAGGTCAACCAGATTAAAAGAAAAAGAAACAAGGGCTTCAAAGCCTGGAGGCGTGTCACGAAACAGTTTCCTCGGCTTTAAGTGCCTCCCGCCAGGTTGACTCTTTAGATCAGGCATCGTTTTAGACTGAGGCATTACCTTGGCAGATCTCCCGTTTCCCGTGGCCTTCATCCCAAGAGGCTATAGTGCTCCAAGTATGGTTAGTGGATTGCTAACAGGTTCCAGGATTTTACAGTGTTGCTTTTGGTTTTTGATCTAGTTCATGGATATTTCTGATTGCTGATTTTTACTGTGGCTTTTTGACTTTGCATTTTCCTCTATTTTGTAACCATTTTTCATCAATAAAAAGGGATTGTTTTTCCCACAGTCAAGTGTGGTGGATTGTTATCTTAGGGTCTCGTTTCCTGCTCTGGGTTGCAACACTAACCCTGAGCTGCTATGGTTAGAAAGAACAGGTCTTCCCCTATCTAAGCTCAAGGTTAGCTTTGAAGATGAAGTAATGCTCAATAGTATTCAATAACTATTTCTCTCAATTTCTCAATAACTCAATTTCTATCTATAACTCAATTTCTTAATTGCTCAATTTCTTATCTATCTATCTATCTATCTATCTATCTATCTATCTATCTCAGTATCTCAATTGTACTCACAATGACTTTTCAGAGCTTTGCCTGTCTGACTAACAGCACATCTGAGGCTTTTTTCTCTACTGAAGGAGGCAGGGGAGATTCCAAAATGGAGATCTCAACCCCAGGAAAAAGGGCAGACTCTTAATCCAAAGAGATACTTTCTAAACCAGCATTTCTCAACCTGGGAGTCGGGACCTCTGTGGGGGTTGCGAAGGGATGTCAGAGGGGTCACCAAAGACCAGCAGAAAACATAGTATTTTCTGTGGGTTTGAGGGTTCTGTGTGGGAAGTTTGGCCTAATTCTATCGTTGGCGGGGTTCAGAATGCTCTTCAATTGTAGGTGAACTATAAATTCCAGCAACTACAACTCCCAAATGTCAAGGTCTATTTTCCCAAAACTCCACCAGTGTTCACATTTGGGAATATTGAGTATTCATGCCAAGTTTGGTCCAGATCCATCATTATTTGAGTCCACAGTGCTCTCAGGATATAGGCGAACTACAACTCCCAAACTCAAGGTCAATGCCCACCAAACCCTTTCAGTATTTTCTTTTGGTCATGAGAGTCCTGTATGCCCCGGTTGGTCCAATTCTATCATGCTATTTGATTGTAGATGAGCTATAAATCCCAGCAAGTCCTGTGTGCCAAGTTTGGTTCAATTCCATCGATGGAATTGAACCAAACTACAACTTCCAAGCATTGCACTGTTGTCACTATATAACGTTAAGAAATAATAAAAAGAAACAGAGAAAGATGCAATAGATAACATGTTAACTGCAGCAAGATTACCGATAGTGGAGAATTGGAAAGGTAAAATAAATATACCAATTGAAGAATGGTATAAAGAACTATGGAAAATAGCAATAAACGATAAATTGACGTGTAGGTTAAGAGTCAGGAAAGGGGTATGGAAGGAAAATGATTTTGATAAAGTTTGGGGAAAATTTATTGAGAATGGCTTAAAAGAAGTAGATGGGAAATTACCTCCATAAGAAGAAATGGTATTTTGGAAAGAGAATGTAAATTGAAGTGGCTCAGAAGGGGGCACAGAGGTGAAAAGAAGTATACAAGATATAAATACAGTTATAGTTGATGTAATGAATTGAGGATGGAATATAAGAGTATTGAAGGTATTGATGTATTGATGTATTCTAAGGAAACCAAGAAAAATATGTGTTGGATGGGGTCGCACTCCCCCTGAAGACGCAGGTTCGCAGCTTGGGTGTGACCTGGACTCATCGCTGAGCCTGGAACCCCAGGTTTCGGCGGTGACCAGGGGAGCATTTGCACAGCTAAAGCTTGCGCCAGCTGCGCCCGTACCTTGGGAAGTCTGACTTGGCCACGGTAGTCTACGCTCTGGTTACATCCCGTTTAGACTACTGCAACGCTCTCTACGTGGGGTTGCCTTTGAAGACGGCTCGGAAGCTCCAACTAGTCCAACGCTCGGCAGCCATGATTTTAACAGGAGCGGAGCGCAGGAGCATACAACCCCCCTGTTGCGCCAACTCCACTGGCTACCGATCTGCTACCGGGCTCAATTCAAAGTGCTGGCGTTGGCCTTTAAAGCCCTAAACGGTTCCGGCCCAAGCTACCTATCTGACCGCATCTCTGCCTATGAACCCACCAGGACTTTGAGATCTTCCGGGGAGGCCCTGCTCTCGATCCCGCCTGCTTCTCAAGCACAGCTGGCGGGACGAGAGATAGGGCCTTCTCGGTGGTGGCTCCTCGGCTGTGGAACCCCCTTCCTATGGACATTAGACTAGCACCATCTCTAATGGTATTCCGCAAAAAAGTGAAGACCTGGCTGTTTGAGCAGGCGTTCGAATAATTAGTGCAATGATTGGTTAATGAACACTGGAATGGAACAATGGATGACGAATCTGGAACATGTTTTTGATGATGAGACGACAGTGAATGGGTATTGTAGTAACTGTTTAGTAATTGTGTAATGTGTTAGGTTGTTAACTGTTTTTATACTGTAGCACTGAATTTTTGCTGTTCGTATTTGTTGTGAACCGCTGTGAGTCGCCTTCGGGCTGAGAACAGCGGTATATAAGTAAGGTAAAGAAATAAAGAAAGAAATTTTCTTTTCCCTTTCTGTCCTCCTGTTTATAAACAGAATGCAGCACCTCTCTCAAAGGGAAGCAGCTGGTTTATCGTAACCAAATGGATAAATACGCTTCCTTGCATGGTCACCCGGAGAATCAACTCTGCAGCTTTACGGTGTGCATTGATATTAACAGAACCAATCCCAACCTGGCTACCTGGCCGGCATTTTCCTATGACGTCAACGGCTCCTCTGAGGACTTCACGAAGGCAGAACTGGCGCTGTCCATGAACAAGTCCACATTGCAAGTCTTCATCTTGGGCTACTTGGTCGAGATCAGGCAGGACCTCCCCGCCTTCAAGATGCACCGCCTCTGTTGCATTTGGGATGGTGCCAAGAGGCTGTTGGAAATCTTCCACGATGGGAGTAAGTTGAAGACCGCCGTTCCCTGCAACGTGACACACGAGTGCCTCAGGCCCGGAGGGACCCTGGCATTGGGTCGCCTGCACAAGAACCTGAACGGAGTCATGGTCACAGAGCAGTTATTTACCTTCACGGGCTTCCTGCACTATTTCCAAATGTGGGATTCCGTCAGGGACCAGCAGAAGATGACCCGCTGTGACCGAGGGGACGTCATTAGCTGGCAGGACAGTTATTGGTGCTTGGGTGAAATCCAAACAGAGTCTGCCCACGACCAACACTGCGGTGAGTCTCCTGACCGAATTTGGAGCACTTCCAGTTGTCCTTATGGCCCCAGTTCCCATTGATCCCACAGTCAATGGTTAAGGATGATGGGAGTTGTATTTCAAAAATGTCTAAAGCAGGCATGGGCAACCTTTGGACCTCCAGGTGTTTTGGGCTTCAACTCCCACAACTCCAACTTCCTGGGAGTTGAAGTCCAAAACACCTAGAGGGCCAAAGTCCAACAGGCGGCAGCTAGATTAGTCACTGGAGCATCATAGAATCATAGAATCATAGAATGAAAGAGTTGGAAGAGACCTCATGGGCCATCCAGTCCAACCCCATTCTGCCAAGAAGCAGGAATATTGCATTCAAATCACCCCTGACAGATGGCCATCCAGCCTCTGTTTAAAAGCTTCCAAAGAAGGAGCCTCCACCACACTCCGGGGCAGAGAGTTCCACTGCTGACCGGCTCTCACAGTCAGGAAGTTCTTCCTCATGTTCAGATGGAATCTCCTCTCTTGTAGTTTGAAGCCATTGTTCCGCCTAGTCTCCAGGGAAGCAGAAAACAAGCTTGCTCCCTCCTCCCTGTGGCTTCCTCTCACATATTTATGCATGGCTATCATGTCTCCTCTCAGCCTTCTTCAGGCTAAACATGCCCAGCTCCTTAAGCAGCTCCTCATAGGGCTTGTTCTCCAGACTTTTTATCATTTTAGTCGCCTTCCTCTGGACACATTCCAGCTTGTCAATATCTCTCTTGAATTGTGGTGCCCAGAACTGGACACAATATTCCAGGTGTGGTCTAACCAAAGCAGAATAGAGGGGTAGCATTACTTCCTTAGATCTAGACACTATGCTCCTATTGATGCAGGCCAAAATCCCATTGGCTTTTTTTGCCGCCACATCACATTGTTGGCTCATGTTTAACTTGTGGTCCACGAGGACTCCAAGATCTTGTTCACACGTACTGCCCTCGAGCCAGGCATTGTCCCCCATTTTGTATCTTTGCATTTCGTTACAAACTGTTGGATTTTCATGACTGTCTTGGTTCATTTTGTTAGTTTTGGCCCATCTCTCTAATCTGTCAAGATCTTTTTGAATTCTGCTCCTGTCCTCTGGAGTATTGGCTATCCCTCCCAATTTGGTGTCGTCTGCATACAGGGAGCATACCACCCCCCTGTTGTGTCAGCTCCACTGGCTGCCGATCCAATTCCGAGCATAATTCAAAGTGCTGGTTTTGACCTATAAAACCCTATATGGCTCCGGTCCAGCGTATCTCCTTCTATGTCCCACCTCAGAGCTTAAGATCCTCTGGGGAGGCCCTGCTCTCGGCCCCGCTGTTATCTCAAACACATTTGGCGGGGACAAGGGACAGGGCCTTCTCGGTGGTAGCCCCCGCCTGTGGAATCACCTTCAGAAAGAAGGTAAAATCGTGGTTGTGGGACCAGGCCTTCGGGCAATCAGGTTAAAGGACAATGGATAATATTTGACTATGGCTTGGAAGTGGATTTGGATAAGTGAAGCGGAGTTATCATTGTATTGTTGAAGGCTTTCATGGCTGGAATCACTAGGTTCTTGTGGGTTTTTCCGGGCTGTATGGCCATGTTCTAGAGGCATTTTCTCCTGACGTTTCGCCTGCATCTATGGCAAGCATCCTCAGAGGTAGTGAGGTCTGTTGGAATTAGGGCAATGGGTTTATATATCTGTGGAATGGCTGGGGTGGGGCAAAGAGCTCTTCTCTGCTGGAGCTAGGTGTGAATGTTTCAACTGACCACCTTCATTAGCATTTGAAGGCCTGGCTGAGCCTGGGAAAATCTTTTGTTGAGAGGTGTTAAGATGTGCCTGGTTGTTTCCTCTCTGCTGTTTTGCTGTTGTAATTTTAGAGTTTTTTTAATACTGGTAGCCAGATTTTGTTCATTTTCATGGTCTCTTCCTTTCTGTTGAAATTGTCCACATGCTTGTGGACAATTTCAACAGAAACCAGGCACATCTTAACAGAGTTAAGTTAAGTTGGGGAGCCACCACCGAGGAGGCCCTCTCCCTCGTCCCTACCAATCGCGCCTGTGAAGGAGGTGGGAGCGTGAGCAGGGCCTCTCCAGATGATCGGAGAGATCGTGTGGGTTCGTACACAGAAATGCGGTCACGCAGGTAGGCAGGTCCCAAACCATTCATGTGTAGTAATATAGTCTTCAAAGTGAAGATTGGCACATTCTAGTCTTTCCGATGTTTTATTGCAATGACCAAATGCCTACTTTTGGTATATTATTGGTCTCTCTTTCCGCTCATGTGCTCTTTGTTCTCTCTGATAGGTAAAGAAGAAGCCACTCCACCACCTGCCAGCACAACACCTGAATCTGCAAGCACAGGTATGGATGGATGGAAGGGCTTGGGTGCATCTGCACTGTGGAAATAATGCAGTTTAAGGCTATGGAATCCTGGAAGGTTAAAGGGAACTTCAGCATTGATTCTTTTCATATAAAATACTAATTTATTTTATTTATCGTGTCAAGGGCGAACCAAACAGTTCCATTGCATTTTTTAACAAAACAAATAAACAAAATACAAAGTTTGCAAGTTTGGTAGCTGATTAAATGTCCTTTGACCAGTATCTGGCCACTTGGAGTGCCTCTGGTGTTGCCGCAAGGAGGTCCTCCATTGTGCATGTAGCAGGGCTCAGGTTGCATTGCAGCAGGTGGTCTGTAGTTTGCTCTTCTCCACACTCGCATGTCGTGGATTCCACTTTGTAGCCCCATTTCTTAAGGTTGGCTCTGCATCTCGTGGTGCCAGAGCGCAGTCTGTTCAGTGCCTTCCAAGTTGCCCAGTTTTCTGTGTGCCCAGGAGGGAGTCTCTCATTTGGTATCAGCCATGGCTTGAAGTTCCGGGTTTTAACCTGCCACTTTTGGACTCTCGCTTGCTGAGGTGTTTCAGCGAGTGTCTCTGTAGATCTTAGAAAACTATTTTTTGATTTAAGTCGTTGGCGTGCTGGATGATACCCAAATAGGGGGTGAGTCAGGGATGTCACTTACTTGGTCCTTTCACTATTGGTTGCTACTCCCCGGCGGATGTCAGGTGGTGCAATACCGGCTAAACAGTGTAATTTCTCCAGTGGTGTAGGGCGCAGACACCCTGTGATAATGCAGCATGTCTCATTAAGAGCCACATCCACTGTTTTAGTGTGGTGAGATGTGTTCCACACTGGGCATGCATACTCAGCAGCAGAGTAGCATAGCACAAGGGCAGATGTCTTCACTGTGTCTGGTTGTGATCCCCAGGTTGTGCCAGTCAGCTTTCGTATGATATTGTTTCTAGCACCCACTTTTTGCTTGATGTTCAGGCAGTGCTTCTTGTAGGTCAGAGCACGGTCCAGAGTGACTCCCAGGTATTTGGGTGTTGTTGCAACCCAGAGCAGGAAACTGGACCCTCAGACAACCATCCACCACACTTGACTTCAGGAAAATAATCCTTTTTTATTTATGAAAGATGAATACAAAATAGAGGAAAAATACAAAGGTAAAAAGTCACAGTAAAAATCAGCAACAAGAAATGTCCATAAACAAGATCATAAAACCCACAGCAAAACTGCTGAATCCTGGAACCTGTTAGCAATCCACTAACCGTACTTGGAACAACTAGAAAACCTCAGAGGAACAAGGCCACTTGAATCAGGAGACCTGCAAAAGCTTGCACATGAATCTGGAACGATGCCTGGTCTGAAGCTGCATTCAGGCCAGGCATACTTAAGGCCGAGAAATCTATTGCGAGACACGCCTGACGTTTTTGTTTGCATTTCTCTCAATCTGGCTGACCTACGTAAACTTTGTGCTTCTCCCCAGCTCTGCCAAATCTGCCCCCGCCTATCCTCATTAGGCAGACCAGGTGTCAGATTCTCTGGAGAACTAAGGCTGGGAGGAAAAGGGAGTGAAACTTCTCCGCTCGGCTCGGAATGCATGTTCTCATGGGAATTTTGACTTTCACTTTCCAAGGCTGTAGGATTTTCACTACTCAAACCATCATCATCTAAATTGGCCTCAGAATTCACATTGACATCTACATTGGCATCAGGGAATACAATCAGAGAATCAGGTTCAGGTTCAGGTTCACACACAGGCTGAACCCCAACAGCAGATCCCAGTAAGGTGGCCTTCCTTCCCAGGTCATCCTCAGAGCTCGGGATGCTTGTCTGTTCTTAAGATGAAAAGCACATGCCTATGTTTTAGATGGATTAGGAATCAGCTGGTTTTCCCTGTAATAGGCAGTAAGAGCACCTAAAGCTTCGGAGAGCTTCTGTTCAACCATCTCAAAGCTCCCTGTTTGAGCAGTGATGGCACGATCATCAGCATAGATGAAACTCTCTGTCCCTTCTGGCAGTGGCTGGTTATTTGTGTAAAATACTAATGAAAACTCATTTTCTTCTCCATTCTTGCAGAAACCTTCTATAAAATCCAAATGATATCTTCCATGTACTTCCCTTCTTCGGAGACATTTGATTATTATGATGCGATGGATCTTCTGAGAAAATTGGCAAGTTCTATTTCCCCAGTAAATGTAGAGGCTGGTTGTGTTCCTAGTAGAGGTTGGAAAAAAAAGTATATTCCTGAACGACAACTCCCAAAATCCGCTTAGATCCCTGGGGATTCTGAGAGTTGTAGTCTCCGATCACCGATTATACCAATGAGGATTGTTGTTTTTAGAGAAGGTTGGAAAAAAAAGTATATTCCTGAACGACAACTCCCAAAATCCGCTTAGATCCCTGGGGATTCTGAGAGTTGTAGTCTCCGATCACCGATTATACCAATGAGGATTGTTGTTTTTAGAGAAATGGGGAAGGATTTTCAGTTTGGAATCAATTCAGGATCAAACTGCTTTGTGTCACAACAACAACAATTCAATAATAATAATAATAATAATAATAATAATAATAATAATAATTTTATTTATCATGTCTGAAGTGAATTGAGAGTACAGTTATCTATATGAATAAAAATGTAATGTTCGTTTGTGGGATTAAAAGAACTCAAAAACCACTGGACGAATTGACACCAAATTTGGACACAAGACACCTAACAACCCAATGTATGTCCTTCACTCAAAAAAAATTGATTTTGCCATTTGGGAGTTGTAGTTGCTGGGATTTATAGTTCCCCTACAATCAAAGACCATTCTGAACTCCACCAATGATGCAGTTGAACCAAACTTGGCACACAGTTCACCCATGACCAACATAAACTACTGGAATGGTTTGGTGGGCAGTGTCCTTTGGTTTTGGAGTTGTAGTTCACCTACATCCAGAGATCACGGTGCTGCAATGCTCCAGTGGGATTCCTTCCCAGGTAATCCTCATAGCTCAAGATGCTTGCCTGTCCTTAAGATGAAAAGCACACATCTGTATTTTAGATGGATTAGGAATCAGATGGTTTTCCCTGTAATAGGCAATGAGGGCACCTAGAGCTTCAGAGAGCTTCTGTTCTACCATCTCAAAACTCCCTGCTTGAGCGGTGATGGCACGATCATCAGCATAGATGAAACTCTCTGTCCCTTCTAGCAGTGGCTGGTTGTTTGTGTAAATGTTAAACATTGATGGAGCAAGCATATTCCCCTGAGGCAGGGGACATGAGGGAAACCTTCCCGTAGGATAGTAATACATTTGGGCGTCCCTGGGCAACGTCTTTGTAGATGGCCAGCTCCCTTACATCAGAAGCGATTTGTAGTATGCAACCAACCAACCAACCAACCAAAAAAACCCCTAATAATAATAATAATAATATTAATAATAATAATAATAATAATAATAATAATAATAATAATTTGTTTCTCTGTCTTCTCTTTCCCCTGTTCAGTTTCAGGAAAAACTCTATAATTTATCTTGCGTCATAATGAACATTCAAATCAAGCTAAATCTCGAGTAAGTATTTTATTCACTTTCAACAATGTCTAATCACTGCTTTTTGTCACTCAAATATCCATCAAGGAAAAAAAATCTGAGGCGGGGAGGGGGGGAGCCTTGGTTTGTTTGTGTCTGGAAGCTTCTTTCTTTTGATCTCCAATGGTGCCTCTACACTGCAACATTAATGCAGTTTGATACCACTTTCACTACAATGGCACAAAGCTATGGAATAATGGGAGTACTCGTTTGCAAGGTCTTTAGCCTTCGTTGCCAAAGAGGGCTGAAGCGTCACGAAACTATAACTTCCATGACCTCCAATGGTGCATCTACACTTCAAAATTAATGCAGTTTGATACCACTTTGTAGTGAATCTTACCTAGTAGGCCGGAAAGGAAGCCTGGATAACAGTATGGCAAACCTCCATTTTGGGAGTGGAAGCCAGGGAGGCAGCCATCTTGAGTGAGGATAGATGGAAGAGGGGAGGAGTTTGGAGTCTCCTAGGATTGGCAGTTGGAAGGAGCTGTTGGGGTTCAGCCTGTGTGTGAACCTGAACCTGATTCTCTGATTGTAGTTCCTGATGTCCATGTAGATGTCAATGTGAATTCTGAGGCCAATTTAGATGATGATGGTTTGAGTAGTGAAAATCCTTCAGCCTTGGAAAGCGAAAGTCAAGATTCCCATGAAAACATGCATTCCGAGCCAAGCGGAGACGTTTCACTCCCATTTCCTCCCAGTCTTAGTTCTCCAGAGAATCTGACACCTGGCCTGCCTAATGAGGATAGGCGGGGGCAGATTTGGCAGAGTCGGGGAGAAGCACAATGTTTATGTAGGTCAGCTAGATTGAGAGAAATCCAAACAAAAACTTCAGGCATGTCTCGCAATAGATTTCTCGGCCTTAAATATGCCTGGCCTGAATACAGCTTCAGACCAGGCATTGTTCCAGATTCATGTGCAAGCGTTTGCAGGTCTCCTGATTCAAGTGGCTTGTTCCTCTGAGGTTTTCTAGTTGTTCCAAGTACAGTTAGTGGATTGCTAACAGGTTCCAGGATTCAGCAGTTTTGCTGTGGGTTTTATGATCTTGTTTATGGATATTTCTTGTTGCTGATTTTTACTGTGACTTTTTACCTTTGCATTTTCCCTCTATTTTGTATTCATCTTTCATCAATAAAAAAGGATTGTTTTCCTGAAGCCAAGTGTGGTGGATTGTTGTCTGAGGGTCCAGTTTCCTGCTCTGGGTTGCAACAGGAGCCAAGTCTTAGGAAGGGACAAGATTTCAGCTTCTGTGGGAGTTGAGAACTGGGAGCTGGTGTGTGAAGAAGGATTTTTTGAAACTGGGTTTTCAGGGAGAGAGTGTCTGTGTCAGGAAAAAGGTCAGACAGCAATCTGATTTCTTGTGGGAGTTAGCACAAGAGATTGTCTCTCCAGACTGGGTTAGTTAGCTGGAAGAACTCTGGGGAGAGTTAGCTAATAACTCAGGGGACT